GGATGTTGGTGCTGCTTAAACTGGAAGTATAAGGATGTTGGTGCTGCCTGCGTACAAGGACTTATATGTGCGATCTTTAGTAACTAAACCTTCTGTAATGCCGCTGCTACATGTAGTGTCTACACTCCATAATAGGGTCTCCTTCCAGGAATTTCTAATTCAATTTTGTACTTGCACGTGGACTTCTACAGGGCTTCGCATTTGATTTGGCTCCTTAAGGTTACAGTAACAAATTCAAAATTTGCTGCCAGCCTGACTCAAACTGTTGACCTTGTCTGTGGGGGTTTGGGAGCTTAACCAATAAGCTACAGGGCCCAAACCCTTAGATTATATATATATAAATAAAAAAAATTTAAATTATTTAAAGAAAAAATTTATATATAAATAATATAAAATTAAATAATAATAAAATTTAACTATTTAATTTTTAATAATAATAAATTTCATCAATATCTTTAAAATGTTTTTGTACTATTTCACTTGGATTATAATCTTTTTCACTTTCTAAATCTTGAATAATATTATTTAATTCATTTTTATTATCTGAATTTTTCATTATTTGATTATCATCAGTATCTTTAAAAATAACCATTTCCAAATCAATTATTTTAATAAATTTAAATTTTCACATGTAGTTTCTTGTTCATTATCTAAATCATATTCATTATATTCATCTAAATCAATGTTTAATTGATTTTCAATTTCATCTTTATTTTCTTCTTTCTCTTTTCTTCAATTTGTGCATTATATAATTCTTAATAAATTTCTTCAACTATATGTTCTTGGCTATATAAATTTAATTCAGTTGTTTTATTAGTTATATAATAAGAATGTATTTTAACTAATAATTCAAAATTTTCAACTGATAAATTTATTTTTTTTTTCTATCATTTATTCACAAATAGACCAAATTCTTTTACAACTTGCTGCATGTAGAGTAATTGAAAAAAGTTTAATTCCAAGTAATTGTAAATATGGTTGTGTTATTATATATGTTTTCTATCAATTTAAAGCTGTATCAATATTTGATAAAAAAGAAGCATTATATGGATCCTTATTTAAATAAAATTCTTTAAATTGACCAATAAGTATATCTCCTAATTATTGTTTAGAATGTTTATATTTTTTTAATTGATTTGCAATTTCTGAAATTTTTATCATTTGTTGTCATATATTAGTTGCTGAAGTTGTAATTCTTAAAAATTTATTTTTTTGAATACCAATACCTAAATAATTTATAAATTTTAAAATTAAATATTTTAAATATTAAATAATTTAAAATTAAATAATAAATAACTTACTCTTATAGCCTGAATAAAGAAAATATGCTAAAGATATTTATCAAATTCAAATTCTTCAAATCTTGAATTAAATACTTTAATAGCATGTTGATGAAAATGCTTATAAATTTCTTTAGGCATTTTATGAATTGCATTTCTTAAACTTATTAATAAAAAATAACAATCAGCTAATGTTGCATTTCTACTTTCTAACTTAATAATAGCATCCTTAATTGGTATAAAAATTTTAGCTAAATCATAAACATTATTAAAAAATCTTCTTTTTCTATAAATAATTGTTTTAACAGATTCATTTGTTATAACTAAAGGATTTTCATTAATTATCTAAATAAAAATTATAAAAATT